TGGCAGGTCTATGTTTAAATTTTTAAAAAGCCTCCAAATTTTTTTCTAGAGTGGTTGCACCAGATTGCATTCCCACCAGCAGTGGACCAGGGTTCCTTTTCCCCCACATCCTTGCCAACACATGTTGTTGGTGGAGAACATCATTCTGAGTGAGGTTAGCCAGGCTCAGAAAACCAAAAATCATATGTTCTCCCTCATATGCGGACTTTAGATCTAGGGAAAATGCAGCAATGTTGTTGGACTTGGATCACATGACAAGGGGAGAGCACATACGGGAGATATAGGTAGAAAACCCACAACATGAAAGCACTTGATGTCCCTACTCCAGAGGACTAATACAGAAACCTTAAAGTAACAGAGGTTAACATGAGAAGGGGATCAGGAACCAGTGTAAAGATCAGTTAGAGATGAATGAACTTGGGTTGTAACACATTTGTACATGAAAGCAATGCTAGGAATCTCTCTCTTTAGCTATCCTTAACTAGCAAAACCACTTTGTCATCCTTATTATGCTCATGTCTTTTCTTCAACAAAATTAGTGATAAAGGCAGAACAGGATCTGCCTGGAAGTGAGGGGGGGAGGGGGAAAGAGGATGTGGAAGGGGAGGCAAGGGGGAGAAATGACCTATACAGTGTATGCACATGTGAATAAATGAATAATTAAAAAAAAAGATGATGTTCTCTAGTTCCATTCATTTACTTGCAAATGACAAGATCTCATTCTTCTTCATGGCTGAGTAAAATTCCATTGTGTATAATTACCACATTTTCTTAAGCCATTTGTCAGTAGTGGGGCATCTTGACTGTTTCTATAACTTGGCTATTGTGAATAGTGCTGCAATAACTATGGGTGTGTAGGTGCCTATGGAGTAACCCAAGTCGCATTCCTTTGGGTATATCCCTAGGAGTGGGATTGCTGGATCATATGGCAGATCTATGTTTAGTTTTTAAAGGAGCCTCCATATTGTTTTCCAGAGTGGTTGTACTAGCTTGCATTCCCATCAGCAGTATATGAGGGTTCCTTTTTCCCCACATCCTTGCGTATATGAGGGTTCCTTTTTCCCCACATCCTTGCCAGCATTTGTTGTTGGCGGTGTTTTTGATGATAGCTATTCTAACAAGAGTGAGGTGGAATCTTAGTGTGGTTTTGATTTACATTTCCTTTATGACCAGAGATGGTGAGCATTTTTTCATGTATTTTTTGGTCATTGGATTTCTTCTTTTGAAAAAGTTCTGTTTAGTTCAGTTGCCCATTTCTTTATTGATTCATTGATTTTTGGGGGGTTTAGTTTTTTGAGCTCCCTGTATATTCTGGTTATCAGTCCTTTGTTTTATGGATAGCTAGCAAATATTTTCTCCCACTCTGTGGGTGGTCTCTTCAACTTAAAGACCATTTCTTTTGTTGTGCAGAAGCTTTTTAATTTCATGTAGTCCCATTTGTCCATCCTTGCTCTTAGTTGCTGAGCTGCTGCGGTTCTATTGAGGAAATCCTTGCCTATACCTATTGCTTCTAGAGTGTTCCCTGCTCTTTTCTGTACTCACTTCAGAGTTCAGGTCTGATATTAAGGTCCTTGATCCACTTTGAGTTGATATTAGTACAAGGTGATAAACATGGATCGAGTTTCAGTTTTCTGCAAGCAGATAACCATTTTTCCCAGCAACATTTGTTGAAGAGGCTGTCTTTTCTCCATCTTATGTTTTTGTTCCCTTTGTCAAAAATAAGGTGGGCATAGCTGTGTGGATTCATATCTGGGTCCTCTATTCTGTTTCAGTGGTCTTCATATCTGTTTTTGTGCAGTACTGTGCTGTTCTTATTGCTGTTGCTTTGTAATATAGTTTGAAGTCGTGTATTGTGATACCTCCAGCATTGCTCTTTTTGTTGAGTATTGCCTTGGCTATTCACAGTCTCTTGTGTTTCCAAATGAAGTTTAGGGTAGATGTTTCAGTCTCTGTAATGAATGAAATGGATTTTGATGGGAATTGCATTAAACATGTAGATTGCTTTTGGTAGTATAGCTATTTTTTACTATGTTGATTCTACCAATCCATGAGCATGGAAGATCTTTCCATCTTCTGTAGTCTTCCTCAGTCTCTTTCTTCAGAGGTTTGTAGTTCTCCTTATAGAGGTCATTCACATCTTTTGTTAAGTTTACTCCTAGGTATTTGATTTTTTTTTTGAGGCTATTATAAATGGAATTGTTTTCATATATTGTTTCTCAATTTGTTCATTGTTGGTATATAGAAAAGCTAATAATTTTTGTAACTTGATTTTGTATCCTGCCACATTGCTGAAGCTGTTTATAGTGTCTAGGAGTTTCTGAGTAGAGGTTTTTGGGTCTTTGAAGTATAGGATCATGTTGTCTGTAAATAGGGATATTTTGACTGTTTCTTTACCTATTTGTATTCCTTTTATTTCTTCTTCTTGCCTACTTGCTCTGGCCAGGAATTCCAGGATTATGTTGAATAGGAGTGTGGAGAATGGGCACCCTTGTCTCGTTCCTGATTTTAGGAGAAATGGTTTCAGTTTTTCTCCATATGATGTTGGCTATAGGTTTGTCATAGATAGCTTTTATGATGTTGAGTTACATTCCTTCTATTCCTAGTTTTCTTAGAGCTTTTATCATGAAGTGGTATTTATCATATCAAAGGCTTTTTCTGTATTTATTGAGATGATCAAGTAGTTTTTGTCTTTCTTCTGTTAATGTGCTGTATTACATTTATAGATTTGCATGTGTTGAACCACCCCTGAATCCCTGAGATGAAGCCGACTTGGTCATGGTGAATGATCTTTCTGATACGTTGTTGGATTCAGTTTGCTAGATATTAGCTTCCAAAAGTGATCCAGAACTGGTGAAACCTTTAAGGACTCTGAGAAGACAGTCATCAACTTTCATTTAAGACCACTTCCTCTGCCCAGTGCACTTGCCACTCTTGTCTAGAGGATATCCATGCTCAAATATAACAAAGCATAGAAGGAAAAAAAAAAAAACCAAAAACCACAGAACAAAATGTGGTAACACACACACACACACACACACACATGCACACACACACACACACACACACACACACACAAAAGCCAGGATTGGATTGTTTCCATAGGAAGCAAACATAAATATCAATTTGAAAAAAAAATTTAAATATGTTTAAAACTTTCTAATATTTAGAAGAAGCTATAATCATCTGTTTTTATTACTATCAGGAAATGTCTGAGGCAGGCTACTTTTGAAGACAAGAGGGTAATGAAACTCATAGTTTTGGAGGCTGATAGTCCAATATCAAGTGAAAGCAAGTGAGCCCATTGCTTTGACCTCTGGCAAGGACTAATGGCAAATGGGCAGTGAAAGCTTGTATAGGAAGAAGAGCTCACATCTTGAAACAAAACCAGAGAGCAATTTAGGATCAGGTTCACTCTTAGAACAACTCATTGTGATAGCTACGTTAATTCCTTCTGAGGGTCATGTTTGAATGACCTAAGCATCTACTTCTATAGCCCTACCTCTTTTTAAAAAAATTTTTTATTTTATTCATATGTGCATACAATATTTGGGTCATTTCTCCCTCCTTCCCTTACCTCCCTACCCCCTTCCTGTTCCCCCCACCCCCTCGCTACCAGGCAGAAACTATTTTGCCCTTATCTCTAATTTTGTTGAAGAGAGAGTATAAGTGATAATAGGAAGGACCAAGGGTTTTTGCTAGTTGAGATAAGGATAGCTATACAGGGAGTTGACTTGCATTGATTTCCTGTGCATGTGTGTTACCTTCTAAGTTAATTCTTCTTGAACTAACCTTTCCTCTAGTTTCTGGTCCCCTTCTTCTATTGGCCTCAGTTGCTTTAAAGTATCTTCTTTAGTTTCTCTGCGGTGAGGGCAACAAATGCTATCTAGTTTTTTAGGTGTCTTACCTATCCTCATACCTCCCTTGTGTGCTATCGCTTTATCATGTGATCAAAGTCCAATCCCCTTGTTGTGTTTGCCCTTGATCTAATGTCTGCATATGAGGGAGAACATACAATTTTTGGTCTTTTGGGCCTGGCTAACCTCACTCAGAATGATGTTCTCCAATTCCATCCATTTACCTGAGAATGATAACATTTCATTCTTCATGGCTGCATAAAATTCCATTGTGTATAAATACGACATTTTCTTAATCCATTCATCAGTAGTGGGGTATCTATAGCCCTACCTCTTAATGGTCACACCATCTCTTATAGAGCCAAGCTTCTATTAGGACTAAGCTCCCAACACATGAAATGTTGAGGGATAAACCATATCCCAACTATAGCAGAAGGATAGGGCAAGAACAGGATATTATGAAAAAGAAATAAAGAGAATATCTAGAATTGAAAATTTAGCTACTGAAATAAAAAATTTTATGGTTGAGTAAAACATCAGTGTTAAAGAAGTCAAGACAAGAGAATTGAAAAGCAGATACATAGTATAGTATGTTATAGAGGAGATACTCAATAGATTTTAGTTTCCTTCCTATTCCTTCTTTTGTCTCCTCCCTTCACTCACAATTTCTATTTTTGGCACATGAGATTAGAAGAGTAAACTTCACTTTTACTTAATTTGAGTCTGCCCACATGAGTGAGAAATATATGGTAATCTCTAGAATCTTTGAGGAAGGGATAAAGATACTGTAAAATACTGAATTAATCATTGTAGGAAATGATTTACCTGGTTATGACCTAAGAGGAACTACTCAAAATGGTACTTTCTGTGGTAATTTAGAATGCATGTATTTCATGTGAAGACTGAGAAAGCATTTCAGGAGTTTAATGATTTTTAGATGAGATTTGAGACTAACTTAATGTGTTTGTAAAAAGTCACTAGTTCTACCAAAAAAGGTATACTTTGTCTCAAACACATGGGGTAGGGATTCATTCTGCTTTTTGTTTGAATTTGTTACATGTGAGATAAATTAGTAGTAACAGGTAAACATAGTTTCTCATGTTTAGAAATTTTTTATTTGAACACTTTTATTAATGATCTCCATAGTTTCTGCATCAGAGATTTCCCAAGAAGCTGATGACATGGCAATGGAGAAAGAAAAATATGTTGATGAGCTGAGAAAAGCATTGGTGTCAGGAGCAGGACCAGTGGACACATACAAGTTTAATTTTTTAAAAGAGTCTGGTCATTTCTCCTTTGAGAAATGTCTGAAGGATGTTTCAGTAAGTAAAACTTTTCCTAACTTTCTGAGTGGTAAAATGTTAAGAGCTGTGATTGAGAAATTATGTTCAATATTTAAGTAACTAGCATTTTATTCCCAGAAAACACCTCAAATGAAAGATTGGAAAGTACTTGAGTTCCAAGTTATAAGAATGCTTCATGGCTTTCATTAAAACCTGAAATTAATGATTGTGTAAGAAATTTTATTGGAAATTTATTCATTTTTAATGTTTAAAGTTTTCTTAAGTATCATAGAGTTTACTACATGAATGAGCTGGTTCAAAAAATAATGGATCAGATGTTTTAGACTATTGTTTCAAGGCATTGTTAGCTGAAGTTTGGGGAAATAGTTATTGTATGTTAGAATCGTGCATTTTTACCTTTGGATATTTCACAATTAGGACTTATTTTCTACTATATTAGAATGTATTTAGAATTTTAAATGACATAGTTAAGTGTAATAAGGCATAATTTGGAATTAAAACTACATTATTTTTATTTTTAGACTTAGAAATACTAAAATAGAAGGAGATAACTTTAGCCCAAACTTTCCAAAGCTTGCATGCTTTGCAGGCAAGATTATCTGCTACTTTATCTGCTGAGTTCCTGTGCTAATTCAGATCAAGGCAGTGGCTTATTTTTTTTAAAGTTCTTGCAGTTTCCATCTTTGTATTTTACCTAAATTGATTAGGGATTAAATTTTTTTAACCAGTGGTTTATTGATCAGATATGTTATCTATAGTAAAATAAAAGGAGATAAATCTTTACTTCATTAAGTTTGCAGACTGTAATTGAGAGTTTGTTTTAGAGTTAAATTTAGTTTAAAAATTCTTTTAAAATAGCCTCTAACTCAGAACTATTAGTGATTTCATCAACTAGAGAAATATTTGAAGAAATGAATGGTATAATTATTTCAAGTATGTATTATATATTGAGTGACTGGCTTAGGTAATTTCTATTTAGAAGATGTATACTCTTTCTAATTAGTTGTCAATTTACATAAGTTTCAATATGTTGAGTTCCTTATAATGGTGATTTAAAATAGGTAAAGTAAAAAGATTGAACTGACTGCCACAATTTTGTTATTTATTACACTTGTTCTTTCCTGTGGTCCAAGCTCAATTAGATGATATTAAACACAACAGAACTGCTGACTGTTTCTTCTAATATTTGGGCAAGGATCATTGTCAGATGGGAGTGATGCCATTTCTCATTCAACATCATTTGTATATTACAACTGACTTTATTTTGTGTGACCAGTTTCTAGTTTTCATCTGTTTTGTATATACTGATGCATAACATCAGTGAGGTACCTGTTGGAAAGCTAAAAGCCTTTTGGTCTCTTTGGCATGGTCAGATGGAGAACTTGGTACAGTAGGAATGGTTGGAGTAGTTGACATGAGTAGCATACATCTGGATCTGCTGCTTTTGTGAAGAAAGAATTTCACGTTCTCCTGACTCATGTCTTTTAGGCTTGACATATATAAGCATCAAACACACTCAATAATCCTGGAAGATTTCTTGCTTTCTGTCCTGAAATTAATCAATTTTATTTGAGTCAAGGACTTGAACTACTACCTTCTCAACAGCTTTTCTTAAGAAATGGAAATAGCATAAGAGATTCCCAGAAGTGTATAAGTGTGTTGGTTCCCCAAAAGAATATGTGTTAAAGCAGTACATTATAGTTTAGATGACTGTCTCCATAGTTATGCATTTATTTATTTGTTTATTATTAAAAAAGAAGGCTGCTCTCAGTTTGACAAGGAGTTTATTCATTGCTTGGCTTGCTTGCTCTCAAGTGAGAGTTCTTATTTTTGGACATTTAAATAAATAAAACTTTCAGTGCAGCCTTATGAATCCAGCTGATAAATTACAAGCTTATTTGGCCTAACAGCCACAGAATCTTCTAGTATTCAGGATGTGTTTCTGCAAACTGATTTTGGAGTGATAATATCTTGTAAATTGGAACCATTGCTGGATACTCTTTAAGGTTCATTGTGGTTGGATGACCTAAAAATTACAAAGGAATTTGTATTCTTTTCCTTGATGACAGAGACTTCTTATTGCTGCCAAAAGTGATCTCTAAAACTTAGAAGAAAGGAAAAAAAATGAACATAGATTCAACTCAAAAGTAGTGAATTCTGCTGTTTCTTGAAATAACATTGTTCCCATGGCAAAGAGAACTCTTGGAGTGCTAAGTACACTTGCCACCAAACTCATGCTTTTGAGAGTCAGGGTTTTTGGGTATTTGTTGTCATCAAGTCAGGGAGATGGCTTCACAATTTGAACATTTTGAATATCCCAGTCATGTAAGATTTGTTTGAAATTTACATTGTTATCAAATTTATATCCTGTGGCTTTCCCCACTTCACTTTTTGTAAAGCAAGTAGCCATTAAATTTTGTATACAAAAAGACTTGACCTTTGTGAATGAAATACTATCTTTTGTTGGAGTGTTAGAATTGTCAATTTTTGAAGTAAAGACATATTTTAAATGTAATACCTGTTTGTTGATGTTTAGGCTCCTTTTTTTGTTTTGGAAGTAATAGGTCCATATTTTCATGTGATTACTTTTGAGCTTATAGTTCTCCAAATTTTATTTATGTTCTGTGTTTTTTTTGGGGGGTGGGGCATTGCTGGGGTTTGAATGCAGGTCTTCATGTTTCTTAGGTTGGTACTCTACCACTTGAGCCACTCCACCAAGTCCTGTTTTGTGTTGGGTATTTTCAAAATAGGGTTGCTAGAACTATTTTCTTTTGGTGGTACTGAGAACTGACCACAAGGCCTCACATTGCCTTCTGCCACTTGAGCTCAGCCCCAATGCTTTTGCTTTTAGTTTGTTTTTCAGATAGGGTCTCATACTTTTTACCCTGGCCAGCTTCAGACTATGATCCTGTTACCTCTGCCTCCCAAGTAGTTGGGAATACAGGTACGACCCACTACCCTCAGTTTGTTTGTGAGATAGGTTCTCATTAACTTTTGCCCAGACTGGCTTCGAACTGTGATCCTCCTATCTCTTCCTCTGGAGTACCTGGTATTACAGGTGTGTACCACCATGCCTTGCTCTCCGCATTTAAGCTTAGTTCCACTGAAATTCACGTTGAGTGATCAATTAGACACTAATTTCTTTCCTTTGTACAATATGAACCTCTGTGACCCTTCCCACTAAGTGTTCTGCAATTGATAGTAGGTTGTTCTGATCGAACAATATTGTAGAGCCAATATTTGAAACTCATCTACCAAAGTGCTGTTACTCATTTAGGACATCATTCCTGTACTTGATATTACTGTTTTCTTTCTGTCTTTCACAATTCATACTGATTTTCAGGAGTGATCTTGTCATTTTAACAATGTGTCTTAAATTGGTCCTCTTCCTTTTTTCATTCATGAGTCATTTAAAAAAAGACATAATTATTGTTGATAGGGATAATGTTGAATAATCATTTAACTCAAATTGCTCATGACTGTTGTTTTCTCATCTGTAAATCTTTTTAGTGATTCCTTAAGCATACTGTAGTTTTATATTTAAAAAAATAGCCTTAGCCCTAATACAGGAAATCCACAAGGTAAATTTAAGTACGATTTTGTGTGTGTGTGTGTGTGTGTGTGTGTGTGTGTCCCTGACATTAGATATTGGATTAGGTTACAGTTGAGGGCTACAAATTTCTGTACATAAATAGCATAGAGATTTGTTTTTCTGTGATGTAGAAAACCAAATAGGTAGGTCTGGGTTAATGTTATGGCGTTATGATGTTAGAGACCCAGGATTTTTTTGTTGTTTTGTTTTGTTTTAGTGTATTGCTTTGTCCCTTTCAGCAGGTATTTTTTATCTCATAGTTCAACATTGTTGCCCTAGCTTCCTTCACTCTGGACTATTATGTTCATGTTTTAGGCAGCAAGACAGAGTTACAAAGAAAATAAAGAACATATGCCTTTTTTTTTTTAAGGCCGCCACTCCAAAATTGCATATATTTCTTTGCAGTCATTCCATAACTTAGTCACATGGCTTCACACAGATGGAAGGGAATCTGAAGTAAAATCTTTAGCTGTGTTCTTTGCCCAGAATTTTCCATTACTCTGTAAAAAAGGGTAGGATCATAGGATGGATATTGAAAAACAAGTAGCAGTATCTGCGTGTTAACATTCAGGAAAGAGTAAAACATTTGTCATTCAGAAGGATCCACTTTTTTGTTGCAAGGGTATTTCTCTAGTATTTTCATTACAAATAACTCTCAGGCATATTTTAGTTTAAGAAATGTTAGAAGATATAAAAAGGCACAAGCTATTCTGTCTCATTATATATATAATTTTTGTTGATTTACATTTTGGTGGAGAAATACATCCTAAACTCAAGCAGCCTCCTTATATTTAACTTACATTTCTCTGATATACTTAAATGAGGTAAAATAACACAGCCAGAAAAAAATCCAATAGCCAAAGTTGTTTTTAAAAACAGCAATCCAAAATCTTATATTACTGCCATGTGTTCCTGTGGTTTGTGAATTCAAAGGAACATTTCCATATGAAATATCAGAATTGGAGCATTTATTGTGGTACTCTGACAAAGACTTTGTCAAAAAGAGTAATGACTTTCAGGTTTGTGGGAGTTTGGGTTACAAATGTGTTGTTAGAATGCCTGAAAAAAGTAATCATAATATTCTTTATTTCTATGATACAGGAATTGTATTGTATTCCATTTGTATAGTAAACACTTCAAAATTTCCTTATCCTGTTGGAATGTGGGAACTAAATTAGTAATACACATGGTTCAGAAATTCTGTTCAAAGTATATATTTTACATATCTTGCTTTTCATAGAAAAACCTTGTTTTAAAAACATACTAATTTTTAATTATAGTATTTGGTGTTAAAGTATTCAAGCACTCCTTTTCTCTTCCCTCCCCCCTGCTTTGATTTAAAGTATTTCTTTTTTGAAAGAAACATCTTAGTCATTATACCTTAACTTTTTGTTACTCCAGGGTTGTTCAGGACAGAAACAGTTTA